AATATTATTTCAGAAACAATATTTAAATTTTCACAGTTAATAAATTTTATCAAGTAGGCTCCGAAACAATGCAAATGTTATATATTTTGCTTATTAAAAACGATATAAATATACTTTTTAGTTAATCCGATAATAATTATTATTTGTGTCACAAGGGAAGAAAAAACTTTGTTTCTGTGTTTCACATAATAGACAACTTGAGACAAAAAAGGTAAAAAAAAATGCACTTCTTTGGGAATAAATGAAATTCTTGGATCTATTTCACAGTTTGGGGTACCCAAATGTATCGTTCTATTTTGGTTTTGGTTGGAAAAAAAATAAACGGTAATTTGAGATTTATTTTTTAAATAACAATAAAAATTAATTGCAAAATTGAACATAACAGAAAAATTTAGGACATTAGATATAAAATAGAATTATTATTATCAAATGGAAATTGTACAATTTTATCGTTTTCTGATTTGCACTTTTTTTAAAGAGACTTTTTTTCATTGTCGTGGATACGATTTTTAATTTTAAAAATTTTTGTTATTCCAGTAACTCTCAAACCTTGTACCAATATTTTGAAGTTAAATAATAAAACTATGTAATTATAACAATAATTGTTATATACATAATTATTATGTGAGTTTTTTTAACCGTAAACACCCTGTATCTAAAGGCAAAAAAAACATTGACGTTAAGTTATATTTAATTGAGCAAAAGTGAAAAAAATAGGTGAACAATTTAAAAGTTGGAAATTTACAATTTTAATCTGATAGTTAAGAAGGTACAAGGCAACTCTAATTTTACCAACATCCAAAATTTTACTACTATTAAAATTTTGTGAGAAAACGCAATTGAAATGTGTCTTTTCAAAATAAAAAATAATAATTTTGAAACAAAAAAAAAATTTTAAAAAACTAATGTTGGTTTCTTACAAAAATGATGAGCACGGTCCTGGTTTAATGAAACACACTGTATGACCGTGAAAGTTTTTATTGACAAAAAAGATATAAGAACAAAAAATTATCAGTTGTTTTGAAGTTATAGTCGAATTTATATTTTCAATATTTTTGACTTTATCAGAAATTTTCTCGATAACTATTTATTATAAAACTCTGATCTTTTTTGTATACGACAGAAAATTAAAATTTCTTTTCAACGGTACCAAACATAAGAGATTATCACCAATAAATCCGGAGTTATTGGCAATTAACCGCTCCGGGTGCCAAAAATTGACCAAAATTTTGACAAAAAAAAAACTTCAATTTTAAAATTGATCCATATAACGTTTTTTACATTTCTAGAGGTCTTAGAGATTTAAAAAAGTGCATAAAACGTTATTTGGTCAAGTTTAAAAAATTTCGAATTTTTCGAGTTTTTGAAGGTGACCGGTAGTAAAATCGTAAAAATACTCAATTTACCTTAAGTCGTAAAAACGCTTGAAATATGGTTTAATTTTCAAGATATTGAGTAATAAAATTAAGAAAAAGGCTAGAAGAATTGTGGTGAAGAGATTATTTCTAGATTTGTTAAATATTTATTTCTTATAAAATTGACAAAATCATAATTTTTCTACTTCTAAATAAAAAAAATAAATCAATTGTAATTTAATTGAAACCAAATCTTGTGTTTGAGAATACAAAGTAATTGACAACTTAATTGAATTTACTTTAATCTTGAGTTTTTTTTTATTAACCGACCCATAGGTTTTCACAGAGGTTGAAGTGAAGTCCGATTTTTTGGTATTTCACTTTCACGGGCCAAAAAAACTCAAAAAGTGTTATAATTTCCTAAAAACCAGATCAAATTTTCACACTTAACCCGGACCACCAACACAATTCCCTCCCACTTAACCAAAAACCCATCGAACCATTTCATTCCACCAAACCCCTTATTTCTCGTTTGTCGCGCTGGTTCGACTTGGTCGACTGTGAATAATTACGCGTTCCGCTATCGAGTATGACAGATATTTAAAATGGCCGCTTGTTCAATTACAAAATGGCGCTTTTCTATCACTGATCACAAACTTTTCACTCACCGTCACATTCCCCACCTTTCCCACGCAACAATCGGGAAATTGCTGAAACACTCGGCGCTGTACTTCGGTCACAAATTCCCTCTTTGACTAGTCTGTCGCGAATTTCCCAACTGAAAATCGACGGATTTTCGCGTTTGTATTGCTCGATGCGGCTTTCCACTTCCGGCGTCGCGACGCGCGGCTTGGAGCCGCCGATCACGCCGGGGCGGATGGACCCGGTCTCCTGGAAAAAAGAAATTGTGAAAACATTTCATTTTCTCTCAAGATTCTGCTAAAATAAGGGTAAAACAGTGTATTATTTCACCAAAATTAATTTGTAGGATACTTCTAAATAAATATGTACAGTTAGGGACACGGAATTTCGGACAGGACTTTTCTGTCAATACAAAAATTTGTGATGTAAACCATTCTTTGTCATGATGACATATTTAAAAAAATGACACGCAAATGTCGTTTCTTCTGTGATGTTAACAAAGTTTATTTTAGAGATGATGTCAGTAGATTGACAGTCTTGATGCCCGAAATTCCTTGTCTCTAACTGTACCTACTATTAGGTAAGAAATTTTTTCACAAATATTCTTAAATTGTACGATTGTTTGAAAAACTTGAAACATTTTTTAATTACACACTAAAAATTTGAAAAAATGTAAAGTAAAATGGTCCACATTTTGAAAAATCTGCTGTGAAATTATGATTTTTTTACAAACCATGAACTTTAAAATAATTTATTAACATAAAAAATAAAAAATACTTTTTTTTTGAATACCCACATAAAAAAATAATATATTCTGATAAAACTTTGATGGCGAAACTAACAATTTTTATTTATATTTTTTTTTTCAAAATGTTTGACATATTTTTGTCGCAAATCTGTGTCTATTCATACCTATAAATAGGTACTACTATATATCTTTCGTGAATTTATTTTATTCTCTTTAAAAATGTTGACTTTGGAATTATAAATGTTGTACTTGTTCCATTCATCTTTATTTTCTTAATATTTACTGAATTTAATTTTTTTTCAAGTTTTTTTACCACTATTTGGAGCACTTTTTTAATCTACTTAAATTTTAAGCATGTTTTTAAGGTTGCAACTTCTTGTTTTATACTGAGATTATGTGTATGTGTAAATAATAAGGGACATGGAATTTCGGACATGACTTTTCTGTCAATACAAAAATTTGTGATGTAAACCATTCTTTATTATCATGATGACATTTTAAAAGTCAAAATGACACGTAAATGTCGTTTTTTCTCTGAGATTAATAAAGTCCATTTTAGAGATGATGTCAGTAGATTGACAGTCTTGATGTCCGAAATTCCGTGTCTCTAACTGTACCTACTATTAGGCAAGAAATTTTTTTACAAATATTCTTAAATTATACGATTGTTAGAAAAACTTGAAACATTTTTTATTTACACACTAAAAATTTAAAAAAATGTAAGGTCCGCATTTTGAAAAATCTGCTGTAAAATTATGATTTTTTTACAAACCATGAACTTTAAAATAACTTATAAACATAACAAAATAAAAAATACTTTTTTTTAAATACCCACATAAAAAAATAATATATTCTCATAAAACTTTGTTGGTGCGACTATAGTTATAACAATTTTTAATTATATAGTTTTTTTTCAAAATATTTGACATATTTTTGTCTCAAATCTGTGTCCATTCATACCTATGAGTAGGTACTACTGTATATCTTTCGTGAATTTATTTCATTCACTTTAAAAATGTTGACTTTGGAATTATAAATGTTGTACTTGTTCCATTCATCTTTATTTTTTTAATATTTACTGAATTTATAGTCTTTTTCAAGGTTTTTTTTACCACTATTTGGAACACTTTTTTAATCTACTTGAATTTTAAGCATGTTTTTAAGGTTGCAACTTTTTGTTTTATACTGAGATTATGTTTATGTGTAAATAATAAGGGACACGGAATTTCGGACAGGACTTTTCTGTCAAAACAAAAATTTGTGATGTAACCATTCTTTATTGTCATGATGACATATTTAAAAGTCAAAATTAGAGATGATGTCATTAGATTGACAGTCTTGATGTCCGAAATTCCGTGTCTCTAACTGTACCTACTATTAGGCAAGAAATTTTTTTACAAATATTCTTAAATTGTACGGTTGTCAGAAAAACTTCAAACATTTTTTAATTGTACACTAAAAATTAAAAAAAAAGTAAAGTAAAATGGTCCACATTTGCTGTAAAATTATGATTTTTTTTTACAAACCAAGAATGTATTTTCTCGTAGCATGAACTTTAAAATAACTTATAAACATAACAAAATAAAAAACATTTTTTTTTGAATATCTACATACAAAAAATAATAACAATTTGTTATTATAATTTTTTTTAACAATGTTTGACATATTTTTGTCGCAAATTTGTGTCTATATAAGAATTTATTTCATTCTCTTCAAAAATGTTGCTTTTGGTATTATAAATGTTGTGCTTGTTCTATTCATCTTTATTTTCTTAATATTTTTTGAATCTTTTTCTAGTTTTTTCTATTTTTAATCTAAATTTTAAGCGTGTTTTTAGGTTGTAATTTCTTGTTTTATACTGAGATTATGTTTATATGTAAATAATAAGTTTAAACTTGCTACCGTTGAGATGAAACTTGTAAACGTGTAAATATTAAAAAAATTCGATCAAGTTTACCAGGTGATACTTCGTATTGGGCCACAATTTCTCTTAGAGTAACTTGTTATATTATAAGATTAATAATCCTATCAGAGATATAAATATAAATCCATATCTCCCGCTAATCCATCTGTCCCGGATTTACCCTGCTTTTCATAATTTTTGATTTTAATTTGTATTTTTCAAAATGAATCACTGAACAAAGACACGATTAAACCCGTCACACCAAACTTTTATTTCAAACACAACGCGTTTCAATCACAAAGTGGTCATCCTCAGGTGAGAGTAAAAACTGTTTTTTTGTTCATCGTTTTCAAACCAAGAGGATCCAATAAGAAGTACAATGAATCACATTTAATTTTTAATTTTCTTCTTTCTTTAATTTTTTATACTCGTATTATTAAGTCCTGTTCTTTGTATTTGTTTTTCACTAAATTGAAAAACTTATTTTTCTTAATGTTCTTTGTCGTGGGCTCTCTGATATTTTCTCTTCGAAAAGTTAAAAAAAGCCAAACTTATCTTAGCTTTCTAGATCACTTTTAGACTAATAACTGCTTAAAAATAATAAAACATGCCTTTTTTGGCTAAACTCAAGTAACAAATACTTTTAAATAAGACAACAAATTAACGCTTTCTAAATAAAATTTGAAAAATGCACTTTAAATTAATTTTTTTCTTTGTATTCGTATATTTATCAAAAAATGT